GCAGGAAGTGCTACACCTGCCCCCATACCTCCTCCCTCACCCCCATCCCAGGCCCCAAGAAGACTTTCCACATCAAGCAGATGTTCACCTGCACATCTGCCAATGTGGTATACTGCATCCGCTGTACCCGGTGTGGCTTCCTCGACATCGGGGAAACCAAGCGGAGACTCTGGGACCGCTTTGCAGAACAACTACGCTCGGTTCGCAACAAACAACTGCACCTCCCAGTCGCGAACCATTTCAACTCCCCCTCCCATTCCTCAGACGACATGTCCATCCTGGGCCTCCTGCAGTGCCACAACGATGCCACCCGAAGGTTGAACGAACAGCACCTCATATTTCGCTTGGGAACCCTGCAGCCCAATGGTATCAATGTGGATTTCAAAAGCTTCAAAATCTCCCCTCCTCCTACCGCATCCCAAAACCAGCTTAGCTCGTCCCCGCCTCCCTGACCTGTCCTTCCTCCCACCTATCCCCTCCTCCCACCTCAAGCCCCACCCCCATCTCCTACCTCCTAGCCTCATCCCGCCCCCTTGACCTGTCCGTCCTCCCTGAACTGACCTATCCCCTCCCTAACTCCCCACCTACACTCACCTTTACTGGCTCCATCCCCGCCTCTTTGACCTGTCTGTCTCCTCTCCACCTATCTTCTCCTTTTATCCATCTTCTATCCACCTCCCCCTCTTTCCCTATTTATTTCAGAATCCCCTTCCCCTCCCCCATTTCTGATGAAGGGTCTAGACCCGAAACGTCAGCCTTCCCGCTCCTCTGATGCTGCTTGGCCTGCTGTGTTCATCCAGCTCTACACCTTGTTATCTCAGATTCTCCAGCATCTGCAGTTCCTACTATCTCTGGATAAAGTTAATGCTGAGTTCATGAAATTTCAAAACAAAAAGTGATCAATTGCAGCACAGCAGTAAGTGAGGAAATGGAATAAAAGCAACAGTAGCAACCTCCAACTCTACACGTTGTTATCTCAGATTCTCCAGCATCTGCAGTTCCTACTATCTCAAAGTTGTCTGAGAGACAGCGAACAACGACGGTTCGCTATACTTTGTTGAACAGAAGGACAGTTTGTCGTAGAGTTGCCCAGAAGCTGGTGTTGACATCCTATTATTCCTGATGTGTATTAATCACTGAATCTTTAGTGTGGAGGACAAAATTTAAAAATGTGCAGGCAATATAAAATTTGGAAGCATTATGGATATAGAACTTTCAAAGGATATAGGCAGGCTAGTAGAATGGGCAAGCTAGTGGCAAATGAAATTTAATGCGGAAATATGTGAAATGATTTATGTTGGTAGAAACAGAACAGAAAGACCATATACCATCAAGGATAAATTCTAAATGTTGCAGAGGAGTGGAAAGGCACAAGTGTAAAAAAAGAACTTTGGATGCTGTGAATCAGAGACAAAAACAGAAATTGCTGGAAAAGCTCAGTGAGTCTGGCAGCGTCTGTGGAGAGAAATCAGAGCTAACGTTTCAGGTTGAGTGACCTTTCCTCAGAACTGATGGTAGCTAGGAACATGTTGCTTTGTATGGAGAAGATAGGGTGTGGGTTAAGGGGGTAAGGAGTGAACGATAGGTGGGGATAGACCCCAAAGAGAGAGAATGGTTGGACAGACAAAGGAGTGGATAACGATCTGGCTGGGAGGGTGAATAGCTATTAATGGGGACTGTTAGTGGCTAATAATGGATTGTGTGTAATAGCAAACTGTGTGATAACAAGGCCTGGTGTGTGGGGTTGGGGTCAGGTTAAAGGTATGGGAGAGCTCAAGCCTTAAAGTTATTGAACTGAGTCCAGAAAATTGCAGGGTCCCCAAGTGGAAAATGAGGTGCTGTTCTTTCAGCTTGTGCTGAGATTCGCTGGAGTACTGCAGCAAGCCTGAGACACAGATGTTGGCTGGAAGACATAAGTGTATGTGTACCTACAGGTAGCAGGTCAAGGTGATAGTATACAATAATGAAACTAAAGCATATGGCATGCTGTGCTTGATCATTAGAAACATAGAGCAAAAAAAATACAAGGAACTGATGTTCAACTTGTGCAGACCACTTGTTCAGCCTCAACTATAATACTGCTTCCAGTTCTGAACACCACACCCCAGGAAGGATGTGAAGGCATTAAACAGGCTGCAGAAAAGATTCCAGAGATGAGGAATTTCAGCTATGTAGTTAGACTGGAGAAATTGGGATTATTGGAGAGGAGAAGCCTGAGACGAAATTCAAGAGGAAGTATTCAAAACCATAAGGAGTCTTGACAGAGTAGAGCAGGAGAAATTGTTCCCACTTTTGGACGAATTGAAAATGAGAGGGCATAGGTTTAAGGTAATTGACAAAAGAAGCAATGGAACAACAAGGAAATCTTTCGCACACTGCCCGTGGTTAAATTCTGCAATGGAATGCAATGAGAATGAAGTGGATTTAGATGTTCGAGAGGGAATTGAGCTATTATCTGAAAGAGGAAGAGTGTGCAGGGGTACAGGGAGAAGATGAGGGGGTGTCTGTAGGGGAATTGTTCCTTTCGAGAGCCAACGAAGACATGGTGGGCCGTATGTCATCTATTGTGCTGTGAACATTGAGATTCTGGAATGCACAGTCAGCTGGATGTTCTGCTGTTCATTGGGAATTCTTACTTTAAGGATCAACCACGGCTCTCTTTGCATTTCTCACCTCATCTTGTTGTCTCTCCTAATGTCTCGTCTCATCTCATCTCATCTCATACCATTTGATGTCTTCTCCTCCCAAGAAAATTGGGACCTCTTCCATCACCTTCAACATACACTCCCTCCAGTAGCGGCGCCATCTACCAGATATCCTGTAGCAACTCACCCAGGACACCTTTTGACAGCACCTTCCAAACTTGTGATAATTCCCATCTAGAAGGACTTGGGTAGCAGATGAAAGCGAACAGCACTACCTGCAAGTTTCCTTCCCAAGCCACATGAAATGTGAGTGGCCCTGTCTAGACCAGCATTTATTGTCCATTCCTGACATTTGAAGCAGGAAAAACTAACATCCCATAACGCCTTGGACAAATAATGCCCTCATTATTTTCTGAACCCACACATTTTTAACCTTTTACTTTCCAAGTCAACTAAAATAATAGAGTAATGGTGTGATGCGGCCCTTCTCCAATGCAATCTGCATCCATCTCCCTTTTGTTTTTGACTTTCCAATCAAAGTTACTCAAGGTGATACAGTCAAAGCTCTGTTTTGTGCCAACCACAGACCATACTTAGTCGATGGTACTCTCCAAAAGGTGGGAAACCATTCATGTTTGGTTGAGTGTGCATTTGACTGCATTTACTTCCCAGAGTGTTTCAGTCCAAACCAGCACCCTTCCCCATAATTAGAAATGCTCATCCCTGAAGTAGCTCAATTAACTGGTTGGGGTCCAAGATGGGATGAACTGTAGTGTAATGCACAGGAGTTTGGAATTTGGTGTGCATCTTCTTGTGGCTTCCCATTCCTGCAGCCTTCGGCATTACAGGAAAATTTGGTTTATTTATTTGTTCACTTATTTTTCCAAATGTGTCATTTTTTTCTTTTGTTTTTCCATCTTCATTCCATTGTTTTGTTTTCCATGACTCATTTGTGACTCTTCTGTATCACGTGCTGTCTCTCTCTCTTTCTCCCCTGTGCCTGCCAGTGGCCCTACGTATGTTTCAGAGTAAGTAGAATACCAGTGTCTGTCTGTTAGATTTTCAATTGATTTGCAACAGTAACATCACCCATGTTTTTAAAAAAAAGCACCTGGCTTTAATACCATGGGATACGAATTAGTTCATAGAACTTTAAAGAATCCCTACAGTGTGGAAACAGGCCATTCGGCCAAACAAGTCCACACCGACTCTCTGAAGAGTATCCCACCCAAACTCACCCCCCACCCTACCCAATCCCTGCATTTCCCACGGCTAATCCACTTAGCCTGCATATCCCTGGACACTATGGGCAATCCAGCCTAATCTGCACATCTTTGGACTGTGGGATGAAATCGGAGTACCCAGAGGAAACCCACACAGACACGGAGAGAATGTGCAAACTCCACACAGACGGTTGCCTGAGGCCGGAATCAAACCCGGGTCTCTGGCGCTGTGAGGCAGCAGTGCTAACTACTGAGCCACCATGCCACCCCCACTTTTGGAAGAGTGACTCCACTTTAAGGCAGGTAGAGAACTGAAGGTTATTTATCTGTGGAGTGTCAATATGGTCAAACAAGGGGATTCACCTTACAATTTGAGTGAGACCATTGAGGATGATGATGGGAAGCAGTTCTTTATGTAATAATGAGCAGTAGAAATCTAGAACTGTTTCCTTGCTCCACACTAATACCCCTGCCATGCAATCACCAAAATAAAATGTTGCTGAGGCTGGATATCGTTTTTAAAATTATGGAAAATAAAATTGGTTTATATTCTTAGCCAAAGCTGTGGAAGACTAGGATCCAACAGGGGTGGATGGGAATTAAGATGCAATGTAAATGTAATCTAATTCAGAGGTAACCGTCTCAGGGCTAATTTGCATCCTCCTGATCCGACATTCCTAAAATGTACTTAAGTTTGATTCCAAAATGTTTGGAATTGTGTGTGACCCTTCGTTTCTCCTTTTCACATTACTTTAAATATTTTGCTTCCTCACTTATTCCCAGTTTTCCAAAACCTAAATGTGGCCTCCCTGTTTCGTGTGTAATTTTCGCCCTTTCCTGATTAACATATGGGTTTTTTATTTGCCAGCTTATTTTCAAAATTGAATATGTTTAACCATGTGTAAAGTTTGGGTTTGAAGAGTTGATGTATCTGCTGCAACCATACTGGCGTTACTGAGAGCAAGCTTGAATAATTTGGTTCCAGCCGCATTGAGCAATCATTCAAAACTCCAGGAAAAAAATAGACTTGAGAATTTGCCACTGTTTCATAAGGCGCGTGAGCCTAAGATGCACTGTTTCCCATCCCCCTATGGTTAGGTAGTCAGTTGACCATAACTGTAAGGGCCCCATCAGAATGGTCTACTGACCAAGCACAAATGAGAAAACACAGAGCAATGGGTTTGAATTTCAAGTGAGTTTTTTTGGTCTGAGACAGAGCGGCACAAAGTTTTCAGCATGTTATTAAACTGGAAACGATGCAAAAAGTGATTTACAAGGATGTTACGGAAACTGGATGGTTTGTGTTACAGGGAGAGGCTGGATAGGTTGGGACTTTCACTGCAGCATCGGAGACTGAGAGGGGTGGCCTTATAGAGGCTTATAAAATCATGAGGGGCATAGATAAGGTCAATAGCTAGGGCCTTTTCCCTAGGGTAGGGGGAGTCCAAAACTTAGAGGGCATTGGTTTAAGGTGAGAGGGGAAAGATTTAGAAGGGACCTGAGGGACAACTTTCTCATGCAGAGGATGTATGGAACAAGCTGCCAGAGGAACTTGTAGAAACATGTAAAACTACAACATTGAAAAGACATTCGGACGGGTTTGGAGGGATATAGGACAAATGCAGGCAAATGGAACTAGTTCAGTTTAGGAAAACTGGTCAGCATGGATGAGTTGGGCTGAAGGGTCTGTTTCTGTTGCTGTATGACTCTGACCCTAAGTCGTTAGAGTCATATTGTAAACTTCCTCTTTTAAAACTCCTGCAAACTTGCCACTTTAACCAAGCTGTAGGCTTATCTGATCTAAGTTCTCCCTAAGTGATCCTCTGTCATATTTTGCTTTACGATGCTTCTGTGAAGCACCTTGAGATGCTTCAGTACATTAAAGACATTATATAAAAATAATGCTTTGACTCAGAGTGTTGAGTAACAGTTGATACCTGAGGTCAAAGAAATTTTATCCTTCTTTGTGATTTACCTGAGGTTTAAATAGATGCTTTATAAAGATATTCTGCTGGTTTCTGATAAGCTAACTAATTCCTTCTGTGTGTCATAGTCTTGAATCATTCTCTCAGTCATGGTTTATGTGAACTGTTCATTTTTTTTTTTTTCCTCATTTTTTCCTCCACCTTTGGGAACTGTCTGTCTGCTTTTCCACCTGTTTCAAACACTGGCTACAACTTCCTACTTTCCACTTTTAAAGGAGACAGCTACCTGGACGGTAAATCCACGGGTCGTTTCGTGTTTTCTCATGAGTGGCGTGAAGGGCAGCTGTGTGTGTGTGTGTGTGTGTGTGTGTGTGTGTCAGTGTCCCAAGAAACCATGACTCCATATCCTGAATTATGTTGCCTGGCGAAAGGTGCCAGGAGCTTTCTCTCTGTGCCCTCCATCACAAGGGGAAAGAGGAAAGAAGTCACAAGATTGACTCGGTCTGTGATTTACTTGTCTGTGTTTTCTCTTCAGGGGAACTGTCTAGACAAAATATTGCTGTGCCATGGTGATTAGAGGAAAGGCTCTGGCACATACCTTAATCAAGTTCTTTTTCCAATATAATTCTTTTTTTCCTTTCTGCACCATCCCACCTTTTTAGTCTGTTGACTCCTTACAGATTTATAAAGTTTAATGATTTCCAGGCACCTTCAGGTTCTGAATCTCAAGCCAACTCTTGTTCCAGGTTGCAATACTGTGCAGATTGCTGGTGCCCATGACTGTCCTCACTCACAGTCACACTTCCTGCTTAGATGTTGAGTGGGAATCCAGAATGAGTACTGCTGTCTCTCTCAGTACTGCGGCACTGCTACTGTTTTATTTTAGTGGCTTGTGATTTGCTGTTCTGGGCAAGATTGGTGGATTCTAGCACTTGGGAGTGAACCTGGGACTTGTTTGTCCCTGTGTGGTTTTTACTGAGTGACTGACAAAGCCCGATCCTTATCTTTCGCTATTAAAATGAGCGCATAACTCATAGTTGCTTGACGGTAAGAACAATGTGTATCCAAAACTGAGCTGTGAATGCACACAGTGTTAATGGTTCAACGTCTGAACACTGACGAGGCAAACGTTTTAAAGTCTTTCTTTGTTTGTTGTTCCCTCTCTCCTCCTGTCCAGCTCCCCCCGACAGTACATGGCCAGTGTCCAACCTGACGTGCATTATCACCATAACCTTAGTGATCAGAGCAAGAAACGTTTGATGCAAGACACTGAAGATTGGCAGCCAAAGACTGGCACTGCTCAGTCACGCTCCTTCTGCATCCTTGCCCAGATGACTGGCACTGAGCATAGTGAGTAATGTTCCTGCTTCCCGTTCACAGATAAAATCAGTGTCTCGTAGGTGACTGATAGCCCATGTATAATGAAACAGTGAAAAATGCTGATGTATACAGCCTTAAGGAGTGTAGGTGTCTCCTTCACAAATTGGGACCATCTTTTGTTGGCTTACCTGTTGAGTTGGTTGAAGGAGTTGATGGGGGCAGATGGGGTTAGTTCAGGGCCTTCAACATTGAGCCAGGCTGTTCAGGGGTGGCATTAGGAAGCAGGTCGTGACACAAAAGGTGTCTGGAACACACCCTCTCCCAAAGGCTGTTGAAGTTGGCATGCCCATTGCAAAAAAAATAATGTCAAGAGTGAGCTTGATAGATTTTTTTTGTTTCATTTTAAGCGAGTGTGGTAAAGGAGCTGAATAAATTTGACAGAGTTGGGTCACTGATTAGCCACGATCGTATTGAGTGATGTTATAAGCTTCAAGGGCTGAATGGCCTCCTCCTGGTTCCTGCAAGATGCAATTGCACAATTCAGTCACGCAATTCCACGGCTTGGGGCCAGGCTGTGAGAAGAACTTGTTGGCAGAGCTGATTGCTTTGTTGCCATCCGCCTTCAGTCGTCTCCGAGCAATAGGGAAAATTGTGACAGTGTGGAAAGGCCAAATCTTCTGACTGCCTCAGCATTTGCAGGGAACAGTGGAGCCCTTACTGACATCCAGCTTTTCAAAGACCAAATAAGCTGCAGTCAGTTGCGCAAAGGAATCTCTTGCTGGGGAGATGGGACGTGAATATGACAGCATCATTAATCCTATTAATTTCTGTTCCTGTAACCATCTTCCTCACTGCAGGTCCTGCCTTGGGCTGTGGTAGGAATGAGCATTAAATGATTTGAATAGGAGAGATGTGCACAGCTGGAACCCTTTAATCTGATCAAGGTTGTGAATATCAGCATCTTTTGACGGTGTTTTGTTGTCCCCCAAGTGTGTGTGTGTTTTCACTTTTAACAACGAGCTAACTTTAAAATGGGAGCACGCAGCCACAGCAGTGAAAATGAGCCAACCTCGAGTGGGAATGACTGAAGCTGGTTGCCTGGAGAAAGGCAATGACCGTTACAGCACCAGCAACAACTTGCGCTTTATGTATTCGCAAGACCCCAGGCTCCTTGTTGAGGTGGCTCCAATTGGACTTTTACCCAATCTCTAATAGGTTGGTTTTAAAGAGTATCTCCATATGTTAGAGGATAAGATTACACCGATGGGTCTCTGAGGCTTTCACTGAACAGAAGTACTTACAAACAAACATATGAAATGGGAGTCGGAGTAGACCGTTCGGCCCCTCAAGCCCTGTCCTGCCATCCAACAGGATCATGCCATGTTTTGCATCTATCTAATTATTATGCTCATGGAGATTGTTTGTTTGGATAGAAATGGAACAGCTGCGATCTCCATGAATAGTGAAACAGGCTTGAGAGGATGAATGGCCTTTTGAGCGTACATTATCTCAGAGTATCATCAGCTGCTGCATCATGGAGGGTTTGTGTGTCTGTGTTGAGTAATTACCGAGGGGACGAAAATTATTGGGGCTATGTAGGAATGTCGAGTTAAGGTTGGAATCAGATTGAAGGGCTGAGTGGCCTACCCTTGTTGGTATGTCTGTCAGAAATATTGATTTTTGTCACCAGAGAACTAAGCTACAACATGTTGAGTTGTCTGTGTTTGTCATTTTTATTCCTGGTTGTAGTAGCTCACTATTTATTTCTGTTCCTCTTCTAGTGGGTGAGACAACTCCAGCAAATGAGACTAACAAGAAGGCGAGGTAAGAGGCTGAGTGGAACTCTCGGGTGCCCTTCTGCCACTTTGGGTTTGATTCTTGTTGTTGAAGTGTGCGCTGCCTTGTGACTATTAATCTGGACAATGTGCTGTTTCTGATCGTGTGTATCTAACATAATCTGCCCCTGCTGAGCTACAAATACGCAAGAAATGTTGCTGTGGTCGGAGCGCTTGTATGATGGGATAGATTACATTTAAGAAAGCTATTCCAAAGCAAGACCACAACCCAGTGCAAAAGGGCCCACTGAGTCCTTGTGCCCTGTTAATACCCTTCCCTGAAAATCATTTATTAGGAACAAGGTTCATTCAAATTTTAGTTTGCCTTGCTGCCTTATTAATACTAAATTGAATTACTGAATGATGCCTTTTTTTTTGAGCCAATGTTAATTTTGAAACAACAGTAATATCTTGTAAAAATATTGATAGATCTCAGGTTATGGTTGAGATTGTTAGAATTTGAGGTTATGTTTGACTTTTATTATTGTGTCTGTACAGGTTTCTGATTTTTGTTGACTGTTTTATGTCAGGAAGTGTCAAAGTTGCCTCGAGTAGAACATTTTATGTTGTCTGTTGACCATCCATGGGAAATACTAACCAAGATGGGGTGTTCTGTTTTAACCTGAAAGCGAGGGATGTACAGTGGCAGTGGTGTCCCACTCTGGCCTCACTTAGCCATGCCAGGGTCATACAAAGTTGGACCTTTCCGGCAACTTATTGAACTTTTGACAGAATGTTCTTGAGGCTTGTGATTAATGAAATGACCCTGCAGATTTCTCGTTAACTCAAACCATTGCTACCAGTGAAGATTCAGCACATTCCTCTGTAGAACTTTGCTTTCACCGTGTCCTGACCTCAGTCAGTGTGACCTGAAACTAGGGTCTGTCAGGTGGTATTGATGTTCACTTGCTGTGTGACTGTGGCTCAGGATTGTCGTTGCTGATGGATGTTGGCGTATTATTGTCAGCGTGATCACATTTGTAAATCTGTGTTTTGGTGTAAAAATCTGTACTTGAACTCAAAGTGTTGATGGATTGGACTTGAGGACACGTTTTCCTACTGAGAAACATGGGCGGCACGGTGGCTCAGCGGTTAGCACTGGTGCCTCACAGCACCAGGGACTTGGGTTCGATTCCACATTCGGGTGACTATCTGTGTGGAGTTTGCACATTCTCCCCGTGTCTGTGTGGGTTTCCGGCGGTGCTCCAGTTTCCTCCCACAGTCCAAAGGTGTGCAGGTTGGGAGTGTTGGCCATTGGAAATGCAGGGTTACAGGGATAAGATGGGGGTTTGGTGTTGGGTCTGTGTGGGATGCTCTTTGGAAGATTGGTGCCATATAGGGCCAAATAGCCTCTATCTGCACGATTCTATAAGTCATGAATAAAAACCAAAAACAGTAGAAACTCAGCAGATCTGGAGAGAAAGTGAGTTAACATTTCGAGTTCATTATAGCTTTTCTTTGTTTATCATGGATCTGTAAGTGTGAATATCATTGTAGGGAAAACAGTTTATTGATGTAGTGCAGAAGTCTGTAGATTTGAGTGAGGAAAAGAAGACGTGGGGAGATTTAGGAAGTTTGTTCTTCTGAAGTCGGGGAAAGTGTTCGAGATAGAGGAGCAGACAAGGGCATTGCTTACACTGGGTCATTCTAAGTCCTGTCTAAACAAAGTAGCTGTTGACTAGAATTTGCTGCACACCAAATTTGTCAGATTTCAGTTGTCATTCATTTTGAGTTTCAAAATCTTGGTAACTCGACCTTTCCTCTGGATTTAATAAGCCGCAAGTGTTTAGAAAGGGAATTTTAGTGACAGTTAAACGTGGGAAGGAAACGAGCTTTCATTTGTGATAGTCATAGTCATGCCGATATCAAACCCTTATTGGCACATTTCGCACTGACATGAGAGTTTCTGTAAAGCCCATGCTAACATTGGAGGGCAGAGGCATTATCAAAGGGGAGTACAACAATCATGAACAAAAACAGATGTTGCTGGAAAACCTCAGCAGGTCTGGCAGCATCTGTGAAGAAAAATCAGAGTTAACGTTTCGGGCCCAGTGACCCTTCCTCAGAAGTGGAGTACAACTATCATCTCTTCCATTGATGTTTATTCTTATCACATTTTCAAGCATTTTAGAAACATCCATTTAGAGCTGTCTTCATTTACATAGTCAACTGTCTTTAGTTGCATTTTTAAATGGCACTTTTATCAGACTGAGTGCAATATTTAGAAGGCAGTGGATTGTTCATGGAGACTCAATGGTGGACTGTTGGCGACCTCTGCTGACCACACAAGGTTCTGCAGTTTGCTGTCTTGTCCCACTGAGGTGCAATGATACCTTCGCCAGGTTTATTCAACACATTGGTGTGAGTGCCTCTGTAAATAGCAGTAAGGAAACTCTGCTTGCTGAGCATTCATCTGATAGATTGCAACTCCAGGCATTCCACCTGCACACCTCAGGTGTGATACTTGGAATGGTTTGCAGGAAGGGGAAGCTTATCAATTTTCCAGCCTGGATTAGCGCCTGATCTAAAGTGGAGTTGCTTGTTTTTAAACAATGGGTTTTTTTTAATCAGTTAATTCCACCACCACCAAGTGACTGGGTGACTTAGTAAGCTTGACGTCAAACAGCAGCACGACAGTCTGAAAAGTTTGGTATTAAATCCACTGATCATCTAAAAGACTTTGAAATGTACAACCACCTCTGGAATTAAATTTGTAGAACAGAGAAAACTGGAACCGAGAATGGCTATGGAATGGGGTGGGTGTGTGTTGAGTACTAACGAAATATAGTTGACTCTTAACTGCCCCCGAAATGGACCTAGAAAGCCATTCAGATCAAGGGGCAATTGGGGATGGGCAATAAATGCTAGCTCAGCCAGTGATGCTCTCAGCCCTTGCATGAATTGAGGGGAAAGAAAACTATGTGCTGTATTGTAAGTCAGGCATCTGTGCAATTTCTCATTTTGCTGTTGAAGAGCATTGCCAAATCTTGTTGGTGCAGCTTAGAAAGTGATGCCATTGCTTACCAGTGCATGCTGTGCCTGCCTTTAGATTGATCTGCATGATAGTGGCGTGATCCTTGCATGTGTCCAACCCAAGCAAATGTGGAATTTCCTTTTGCACAACTCTCCATGGGATTGAGCACAAGAACAGTGGAGTCCTCATCTCGTCGTGACCTTGAGACGGGCCAGTTTCCCCATTTGTGTGTGACGCAGCATCTTGACCAGTGTCCAAAGTAGCCAGGTTTCTCAATGGCAGCACCAGTGTGGGTGACTTGCACTCAGTGTCTGATACAGTAGCTGTAGAGCCATGGAAATGGAGCAGCTTTAGCAGAAACTTATTGGAGGAGTCTCCAGCGCTTCATGTGCAAACTGCTCCCAGCTGAAGCCATCTTGTCTTTCCAGGCCTGATAGAGGAGCCCAGTGCAGATGGGAGTGGACTAGGAATTCCAAGCTGTTTGTTCAAACCTAACTATCCACAGACGTGAAATTGAATTTTAAAAAAAAAAGTTTATCTGTGGACAGATTAACCTTAGAACCCAAAAGAGCAAGCCTTGTCAATCCGATCAGGAATGACCTACATGTGACTCTAGGCACACACAATATGCTGGCTTCAGGGTAACTAGAGGTGAGAGTAGTGGCTTTGTTGGGGTTACTCATATTTAGAGCCAAATAAGTCTCACCCATATAAAACTAGGCAAAAATGCCTTTTTTTGGGGGGGGGGCGGAGGGAGGATTAAAAGCGCATATAAACAACATCCCTGATGGCAGGGTTGGTAAGTGTAGAGTGGTGTACGTGCAGGTCACAGATATCAATAAGGCGTTTCTTCCTGTTACTAGATATGGCAATAACTGATTCCTAGTGGACACAGAATTAACTATGATGGCAATTTGCGCTCTTAGCTCTAATAGCAACTTACATCAATGATGTTGATTTTTATTCTAGCTTCGAATGATGGCAAGTAGTTTAATGTAGCAGTAGGAGGCCATTTTGCCCACTCAGTCTAATGCATGCTGAGATTCACCAAGATCATGACTGAGCTATAACCTAACTCAATGTACCATAATCCCTTCATACCTTCTGGTTAACAAAAATGTATAAAGTTTTCAAATTAATGTTTAGTCCATCATAAGTTACCATTCATGGAAGAAAGTTTTAAATTCTGCCACCCTCTTCCTGCCTCTTATTATGAGGTGGTGTTCCCAGCCTTAGACTCTTCAGTCAGTGGAAATGGCTTTTCCCCAATTGTTCCTTTCTGTTGCCCTGAAAACGTTGTTAACTTTGGTCAAACCACCATTTACCCTTCTTCTTTCAAAGGAAGATAACCCAGGAGTGGGCGATTTCTCCTCTTGTTGTCAAAAACTAGCCGACAGGGCTATAGTCTTCATCAATGCTGCACTGAGGACTTTGCTTAATTAACACGTCTCTGCATCTTGAATAAATTAACAGTCATTCACATTCACACACTGCTCTATTGAAGGTTGTGAGCACACGAACGTATCTAGCTAGCAAGTGGTTTGCCTGCACATGTTGGAATGACACTTCGTTTTTATCTCTTCTTTCTGTCTGTCTGTCTGTCACTCTTTTCCCCCCACAGGCCAAAGGTCACAACTATACGGTACAGCCCCAAATACGCACAACTGCGCGATTGGCACCATGGCGTTTCGGCTCGTGTCCTTAATGTAAATTAGTTTACCTGAGAAGTGAGAAGTTCCGAAAATATTTTTACTGGGCAGGCTGTACTCTTTCTGTTCTAGATGGTGTTCTGCTGTCAACAATAGTCCAGCAACTTTGCTGTTATTCTTCTTCTTAAAATTCCACCTTTCTTTAGAAAAAAAGAATCAATGCTGTTGTAGATTTTAGTCATGGATTGTTGGCATTTTGCCTGGCCCTTTTTCTGTAAAGCAGCAGTAACTTGCATTTATATAGCACCGTCGATGTTCTTGAGTTGTTGTAGCGGTGTGGTGAGCTCTGGGCGATGGGGATAAGTG